GGCTCGTTGGCCACCGAGATGCCACAAAAGTAGCCAGAGAAGGAGTGTCCGTTACAGAAAGAATTAATCCCGATGGCAACCGCGTTGTCACTGAAAAAGTTGGAGGACATGTACGCAGCTTCTGTTAACCCGCACAACGTAAACAAGACAAAACTAGGCGATGTGCTAGAGGTACCTAATTTAAAAGATCAATTAAACATTATGCTTTAGGGGGGATTTGTTAATTTAATTGTTTTGTGAAAATAATGAAGGATGCAACTCAAAAGCTGCCAGCGGACAAAGTTGTGACGAGGGAGGATGCGAAGGCGGTGATAGGGGCAGAGATAAGGAGCAGTCCAACTACGAACCACTCATGGTGGAGTGGCTGAATCGATGGCTATAGCCGCGAGGCTTAACCAGAACACAGGAGAATAAACTTACAAGTCTAGATATATACGTGCGCATGGTTAATTAAGGTGTTGTTACTTTTTTGTTAGTGCTACAAGTTGCTATAATAATGTAGACTTATATTTTGCGTTTAAAGGAGTTGTCTAGTCAATCATGTAACTCAAGTGTTTGGTTTAAAGTATAAACATGTTTCCATATATAGTTTGGGTTCGTAAATGTTCTCGCTATAACCCCACTTTACAATTTCTTTGTAGTTCACGGGATAATAGTAATCGGATCAATCGTATAATTATTATTGGAAGGTTAGATTGAACTATTTAACCCACCTCTTTAACAGAGACTCATTGTAGAAACTCATCGATAATTATGGTAAAAATCATGTTAATTGGGTTTACTAAGAAGCAATAGGCCTTAACAGCAACAGATAGGCCCAAAACAAACCTCAGGACAAAAGGGCTTACTATTTGTAATGGACTGAGTAGATCTACTATGTATCCTATGTATCCGGGTTTGACTCACGTAAGAGAAAATAAGTCAACATAATACTACCCCATTCCCTTAAAAAATCCTATACAAAGGGAACCGAAGTTTTACAAGATTTCTTGAAAATCAGAGTTAACATGTCTAAATTATGTATCTTAGTGCCAGAAAACTGATCCGTACAGTTGGGTTGTGGCAGGGATCAATCAAGATATGAATCTTTTAAAATAGAGTAACCAAATAATTAATTTAGGATAATCAAAAGTACTTTTGATTTGGGGGAAGTTTCTTGCTATCTGATTCATACATATGGCTTGGTTGGCTTGCAGTTTATATATGTCTACATTTTCCAGCAAAAGAACCAGCTAGGAGGATCTAAGATCTCATATGCTGAAGATTGAAGAACCTGTCCTCTGACTCTGAGTTGCATTGCATGGCTTGTTATCTTCTTGTGGTTCCCTCCCTCACCCCACTCGATCTACAAGTCAGTGGAAGGCTTCCTCTATAAAAACTTTAAGAATGCAATCTGATAGTTTCGCAAACATCAGGGATGTTTTGTGATTAAAAAAAACCTATTTTATATTCCAGCTTCTCATGTTTTAGCATGGTATCAGAGCCTAATGACTAATCCTTAAGATCCTCTGCCAAATTGAGAGTCGTTGGCGTATCTTCATGTTGCTGTAAATTCTCTTGTTTCTCTTTTCCTCTATAATCAACATATTTTTCTTTCTACCTTAGCCGTTTACACAGATTCTTTTATCACTGCATTTTTCCTCATTTTCTTTCCCTATTAGTATTTTAAAAGAAAAAATAAATTTAAGAAAAATGTCTTTACCTTGTTTCTGTTAAATTTCCTCTGTTTTATCTGTATGGGCAATAAGTCCTCCGGCCATGGCCTGATTTGTTTCCTACGGGCAGTACGTCCCTTGATCATCATGATCTCTTTCCTCCGTAAGCCTTGTCAACGCTCACTGAGCTGTCTCCCTTTCCTGCGCGAGCCTTCTCGCTCGCTGAGCCGTATCTGCCGTGATTTCTTCCTCTGTGTTACAGACTTGGTATCACATCCCAAGTCAAGCTTCCAATTAAGTTTCCAGGCCCG